GTGTGTGTTTCTGTGTGACCTCAACCTAATTCAACTGTTATTGATTCATCTCCAGATTGTCTTCTGTTTTAACTGAAACTATTAATCAATTGCTTTAGTTTAACCCCCATTAACAAACAAAAAACCTATAATTGTATCTGATGAACATGAAGGGTGACATAATGCTGATGAGGCCTATTTCTAATTAGTTGTGGCAAGTCATTAATATGAAATGATTGTAACGTATTTACAGTTTAGTCGTTCAGTCCCTAAGGGAATATCATTTCCTTCATTCATTCAGACCTGATGTTGTTTTCCTTAGGTCATGAATATAAACTGGGACTAATGAATCAAGTCAAGCATTGACCCGGGTCAGACTGCCAGCTTGATAAATAGTATGCACAGTCATTGAAAACACATTACATCATGAAACTGTCCAATGAGAACATATCACTGGCAGTAATACATGTGTTTAATAGCAGACTAATAACACCAGCACATGGAAAATGTATCTGGCATACCATCATTTTATAAAACAGAGTCTGTTTGGTTGATTACTTCCTCTGGAAATGCAGCTTATCGAGAACCGCTTATCCAAACAAACCTTACCTTGGACTTAAGAAAAACTTGTGAACTTAATCGGATGGACAAAAACTCCTTTTATTTTTGTTAGATTATTTCAATCAAACACACACACTTTTCTGTGTTTGTACTGAACTACTATTTTAAAAGTGTTTTCATTCACATTAAGATTCATCACAAACCCTTTTGCCTTTTGACCTCTAAAATAAAAAACAGTGTCTACTTACTTATCTACTAACTTACAAGAAACAGTGAAGATTATAAATGTCAGATAACAAAATACCTCTGTATGAATGTGAACTGGTGGATACAGATTTTTGTTGTAAAAGCTCTTTGAGTGGTTGCAAAAACTAGAAAAACTCAATATTGAAATGTAACATTTGCATTTTGCCATGATGACACAGACTTTTATTTCTGGATTGTTCTTTCAAAAACCCTTCAAGTTTACAATATCTTATTAAATATTGGAGGGGTTCTGCCCCCCAGGTTGTGAACCACTGACCTGGCAGACAAAAGTCTATGAAAATAGGCGTCTGAGGTTACAGAGGCTCCAGATAGAGTAAGTGATTGTGACAGCACTCTGCTGCAGTCGAATGTTAGTGAACACAGAGGGAGGAAGGTGAGAGGCCAGGGAGGAGGCTCTCTCCTTTTGACCTGGAAAAGGGCATGTATTACTCCCCCAGACACTCTTAACTAATTCCATCAGGGATTTGAGCAGGAAGGGGGACAGTTGCAGATTTACTATCCCCACTCTCGTTCTCATCTTCGCTGTCATTGGTTGTTAGCGGACCCTCAGGGATCCAGCAGGATTTCATGGTGTCTGAGATCTGCTCCCTCTCACTTCTTTTTGGGTTTTATTTATGTCTGATCATCCTGTTTTTCTTTTAACGATTATAGATTGCTTTGATGAAGGAATGTTACTTTACATTTTCATTTTTTCACAGTGCGGTTTGAGCACAGAGCGTGTGAGTGAGGGGCTGCTAAGCCTCGTATTCTGCTAGATTTTGGGAGGATCATAGCAGAGTGGGCAAAGACTCTTGAGTCTTTCACACTGATAATCCTCTTAAGCATCCGTGCCAATGCACACACCAACAGTCACAAAAAAATAAATTTGAACACATGCTAACTGGAGAAAGCATAGATTTTTTTAAGAAATGACTGTAAATGTTGAGTTTTAACCGTGCTTGCCTGTCTCCTTCACCTCTGAGATAAGATTCATGTCCTGAAGGCAGAGATGTGGCGTCTCCTGGGTCTCTGGGAGTCTATAATGTATTCACTCATATCTTTAATACTCTGTTGCCACTCCCAGATCTGCTCCAGGAGGTTTCACTATGTATAAACTGAACCGTAGAGTATTAAGATCCCTCCTTTTTCTGTGTGTGTGTGCATAAACCCATCTATGTGCACATGTGTGTATCCTCCCCAGGTATGACTTTGCCCCAGCAGGGGTTTGCAGGATGCGTGTGTGTGCAGTAAAAAGCAGTTGTTGAGATGGCAGAAAGCCATGACAGCTGAGTAGCTCCTGGCTCGATGCTGCAGACGTCTTCTGGAAGCCTTGACCCACTTCCAAGTCTCCTCCTCCCCCCATGCCCACCCAAACATGCTGCATAGGGAAGCAGCTCTGCCCCAATCTGCTGAGCTGCAGTGAAGCTCTGCATGCAGATGCTGAGGAGAGGGGGTGCCTGTCTAAAAAATACAGTTTCCTGTGTGTGTCTGCATGTGCTGCAAGGTTGTGTGTGTGTGTGTGTGTGTGTGTGTGTGTGTGTGTGTGTGTGTGTGTGTGTGTGTGTGTGTGTGTGTGTGTGTGTGTGTGTGTGTGTGTGTGTGGTGTGTGTGTGTGTGTGTGTGTGTGTGTGTGTGTGTGTGTGTGTGTGTGTGTGTGTGTGTGTGTGTGTGTGTGTGTGTGTGTGTGTGTGTGTGTGTGTGTGTGTGTGTGTGTGTGTGTGTGTGTGTGTGTGTGTGTGTGTGTGTGTGTGTGTGTGTGTGTGTGTGTGTGTGTGTGTGTGTGTGTGTGTGTGTGGGTGTGTGTGTGTGTGTGTGTGTGTGTGTGTGTGTGTGTGTGTGCGCAGGCAGGCAGGCTTACAGTAGTTGCAACACCTTGGGCAAAGTCACAGAGTTGCTACTTCTGCTGATTATATTAATGTTCACTACAACTTGACATGTTCAACTGCAAGTATCTGATAAAGAGGAAAAGAATGGGCAACATATCACCGCACAGATTCGGGTCAGAGCACTAGGTTTGTTTATAAGTGACACAAGGACAAAGTGTTCATGTCATTTTAATGTTAAAAGCATTATTTTATTTTAACTTTAAACGTTTCCAAAAATGGGAACCTGCCCTGAGGAATGTATGAACTATTATTTGGGGATTTCTTTAAACCTAACGTGCAAAAAAACATTAGGTTTTCGGCCAGAATATGAGTCAACAGCAGGACATTGACATGAGACCAGGGAAAAGTGAATTATTCTGCTCGAGCTCTTGATATTTCCAGAGCAAACAGCCCTGGGTTTAAGCCCTCCTGAGCTGGGAGGAGGCCAGACGGCTGGCTGATGGAGGGAAGCTCCACTGGGAAGGAGTGGAGACACTCACTTAGTCATGGCCGTTAGACACAGACAGATTTATACAGATTACAAGCACATACAAGCCTGCAAGCAGCAGATGCATGTGCACCAACGCACATATACAGAAATGCTTTTAATATAGGCAAAGGGATTAGCACACATTTTGATTCATGGCCAGATGCAGAGAATATGCACGTCGACAAATGCATGAAGATATGTCTGCAGTAAGTCATAGAGAAACAAATTATGAGTTAAAAAAGAAATAATGAGTTAAATTATATTGTAAAATCCTTTTGGATTTGATAAAAATTATCATCTTTCATAACATCCCGGGATTACCTTTACTTGTCTGCTTTGACGTGATTATTTCTAATATCAAACCAGATCTGCAGAATATTTTGTCTGCTTATTTCTATTGTTAGCGAACTTAAAATGTGTCTGTCATATCCTCCCTTAAGGCTCTTTGTCACCATATTATCATTCTGAGTCTGTCTCCAACTCTCTGTCATCGCCCTTCAGTCTGCCAGCATCTGATGTTTATCAGGCTGACGTCACACCGGACTTTTTAGGCAGCTTGCATTTTAACTCTAGTGACAGACCAGACTGATATTTACAGATGAGTATGTCTAATGGTGTCTATTATCAGACTGTCTGTACAGAATGAAGATTGAAAACTCAGTCTTACCAAAATACCTAAACATTTATGCTGTGGATTGTTTCTGGAGAACTGAAGGCCTACAAGTGTTCAAGACTGCTTAAAAACATGAGATGGCATGATGAGCCATTTTCATATGATGAAATGCTGATTTATTTTTTATTAAGAAGGTAATGTCAATATTGAGCTAGGCTATGCTAACCAGCAAACTTTCTGGAAATCTAACGTTAGTGAGCGCTGATGGCTAACAGCCATTAACCATTGAACATCGCTTTTTCCCTTTTCAACACCTGATGAGTCAGTCACCAGATTGACACACACAGTATAATTTCTTTAGTTGATGTTTTTTTTATTTACATTACTTACTCACTTATGAAGGTTGGAATTCTGTGACCTGAGTATGATTTTTAGCTACTTGCTTTTATTTTGATAACTGTTACCAATATAGTGGTATGCTACCATTATATTCGGGTAGGTTAAGAAGATAGAAGGAACTAGTTATAAAGTTAAGAAGATATAGTTAGCCTATGTGAAAAAGTATTTGCAGTTTCTAGCAACATTTATTACAATTTAAGTAGCTAAAATCTGATAAAACAACAGAAATGTCCATTTCAACACAGCAATCTTTAATTATATTGTAGGTCAAAAACAAACACCAGGATGCTAAGCTAAATTACATTTATTATCCAACTAAAACATTTAAATAAAGTTTGACTTCTGATACTGATTGATGTTGGTTGATGATGTTTCTATACCGGACAGACTGCTCTGAAAATCTTGTTGTTATAGTTGACTGCAATGACATGAGTTATTTTGTTTCTGTGTTCTTACCTCTACCATGACATATACTATGTTTAGAAGAACAGTCACGCTTGTGTGTTTTGGTGTGATCTCATTTGTCTGATCCACCTCAGCAGTGCTGGTGAGATAGATCCACAAAGGGACTTATATTATTGATGAGAGCTATAATTTGGGGCACTGCGGGGTGTCATCATTACAAGTGTTAAAGTGTGATTTAAAGATTGCAGTACAACATAATATTCTATCAACACAATAACAACCTCACTCACTGTCCTGGAGGTGTTGTAGATACAGATGATGTATGTCAGTTTAGCATTTTCAAAACATCATTATGATAGTTAATGATTATAGGCTATGCTTTTCGGCATAAAAAGGTTTAAAGTTGTTGCTTAACTTATTTTTCTGTCTTTTCTTCCCTCAGGTGTTGTGAGTGCAGCGCCTCACTGTCACACTGGTATTATGAAAAAGAAGGACGGCTCTTTTGCAAGAAGGACTACTGGGCCAAATTCGGGGAGCTGTGCCATGGCTGCAACGACCCGATCACCACCGGCCTCATCATGGTAAGAGCATCCACCCGCTGACACTCCTCTCTCATCACCCCCTGGTTCTTTGTCTGCTTATCAACCTCGAGTTACAGCTCGCAGACACACACCTGAGTCCATACATCTATAGCCTCACTGACTGGTGTGTGCCAACATATACACATGCTTGTAGGATCCGTGCCAGACCTGTAACTGACCCTGATGGCTCAGACTGTTGTGTCAGATTGTCTTACAGACCACCAGTGAGAGTCAGAGCTGTTGTTGTGACACAGGAGAGCAGGGTGGTTCATGTGCAGAATAGATGTGGTCACAGCACCGGAAAGCCAATAAACAATAGAGTGGCCCTCCGCTGATAAGTGCTGCTGCATTATAGAAAAGACAAGATACCAGCATCAAAAGAGAGTTGTGTCTATTTGTTGATTAGTGAAGAAGAAACTGATCAATACTGTATGTCTGTGAAATAGAATACGTTGTCATAAACATTGCCCTAGCAGCCTCACAAATGCAGGTGCAACGCAATTTTCCTTATGCTCCAAATTAAGTCTCCCCAGCTGAGGCAGTAGGACAGGAGCAGCTGAGTTTATGTTAAAGCTGGTTAGGGAACATTATGATCTCTTCAGCCACAAACACAGACCACCTCTTAGAACAAGTGCAAGGACATTCTCAAGGCTTGACAAAGAAAGGCATACAGGTAATTTAAGTCAGACATGTAATTTAAGTCATGTCTTATTGTTGATCAACAGAAAGTTCATTAGGAAAGGTGTATAAACTAGTATACCACATTTCCAGCTTTTCTGTCGCAAGGATTCGATTAATCTGATTTGATGATAAACTAATTATCGTTTTGTTTAAAACAAGATATCTCAAGACGTCAATTTATTAGTTATTTATGATAGTCATTTTCCTATTTTAACAACTGTTAAACCGTTCTTTCTTCTAATGTATTTGACATATCACTGAATCAGTTCTGCCAGCTTTTCAGTTTGTTTGACAGAGCCGCTGCAGGCTTTATAAACAATTTCACTGATAAATGAAGGTTTCACATAAACTGGTGGGTGTATTTAGAAATGTCAGTACATTTGAATAATGTTCAGCAACAGCAGACTTTACACATTCCTCCCCGCTCTTTCATCACTTTGCAGAGTTGTTTTTAGTATACCACCCATAGAGGTACATTTAGATGTATCAGCCACGGCAGCTGACGATATGAAAAATGTCATCTGTATTTGGAAATATTTGAGCCTCATATTCTGGAAAACGCCCGCCTGTCTACTTAGCATGAAGCTTTTATGAGAAAAATGTTAACTAATCATTTGCATTTTTGTCATTATAGACAGTGAAATAAGTTCTTTCTGAAGTGGGATTTGACCTAAATGATCATAATTTGTAGTGAAATTGTACACATTTTTTAATATAATCTTTTTTACATTTATCTTTAAATACCAGTACTGCTAAATTATAATTTTTTATTTACTTTTTATATCATTTTTGATAAAGAAAATGTGGCTGTTACAATATAGTTTCGTGGCAAGTTAAGGCTCCCAAATCCCAGACCACTGACTTGATAAATAATTTACTGACTAAGATGGTTAAAATAAAAAGCCTAGTTCATTCCTTGCACATAAAGTATCTTCTTTGACACATGTGCCTCCCGGTCAGATACAGCAGCAAGAAGCTTCTGGCAGGTCATGTGTCATGGTCACGATAAGCACAAATCATTCATGGCTCGACCTTTCTCCCCATCTCTGAGAGGGTGTGTTTGTGTGTGTGTGTTTAGCATGTATTCTGCCTCCAGACAGCTTGCCCTTTGCAGTGCAATCTCAGTAATGAAACATTTAGGAGACTCTAAAGTGAATAAGGTGAAGATATTGCAGCACCGACTCTCCTCCTCTTTCTCCTTCGTTGGTTTATTTCTCCTCTTACGGAGCAAAAACACTGATTGACCGTCCTGCAGTACACTCAGCCTTTCATTGCCAAAATGGCCTGACCAATTGTATTACTGCGTAGATATGAAGGACAGCTCCCTACGTCTGAGCCACACCCAGAAATAAGACTTCTACTGCGTCAGTCCTGCACCGTCACTTGGTCATCTGTGCAGATAAGCAGGGAACACAGTCCTATTTTAAAATTCCCTGAGCTGCTGCCACAGTGATAGAAAACACTTCAAGCTTCACTTAAAGCCACAGTGTGCATGTAGAAAATTAGACCTTGTGTTCAGCCAGACAGAAACATCAAATGATTATCACTCTTACCACTGTGATGTCAAACCAACACGCTTTGATCTTAGACCTACCATTTGGGAACAGTTTTCTTATTGTTTGCTCTAAACTGTGAAACACCTTGGTAGTCAAGTCCCTCTCTACTGGGCCAGATCAATTACGCTTTAAAAACATTGCACTTTTTACTCTCAACAAGGAGGTCAGACTTTTGCTTCCAATAGTTTGTCTTTTTTGTTTGACAGTTTATACGATTTTTACAACATTTGACAAAGTGTTGATTTAAAGGCCATAAAACAAGTATAGTTTTTTCTGTGGTTAAGATAGCTAGACCTCATATTATATAACAGCATATGAAACTCGTCCCCCAGGCACACTTGTGTCTTTGGAAATTATGGGGGGTTGTATTTTCCAAAACTAACATTTCAACTTTTGTAACTTCTCATCCATGTTTGTTAAAGCAGTAAGCCGTCCAGGATAAGCAAGTTAGTGGATTTTGAGTGCAGTTGTGATTTTTGTCTGCTTTTCCAGGCAAAAAAATTAACCATCAATCTCTTAGTTATGTTACCGGGGGTGTCTTTGAAAAGTGTGATTTTATATATCTTGTTTTGTCAGTGTCCTGTGACGTAGAAGGACGGCTGTGTCCTACTTGAATACAATCACTATATACACAGTAGGGCTGCACGATATTGAAAAAAATTGACATTGTGATTTTTTTCCCCCTGCAATATATATTGCGGTTTTTTTTTGTTGAAGGTATTGTCCTCCTGTGCCTCGTTAATTTTTTACTGGTGTTTTAATGGTCTGCAAACTAGCGGGGCATGCTGTGATCTGATCAAGAATGATTATGATTGGTGGTTTGCTGTGCATGCAGAGCCTGCATGTCACTCACTCAAGTACCCCTGACATGAGAGCCGCGCAAGTTTTCCTTTTGTAGCAAGCAGCAAAATAATTGTAACATGACGTGTTTGAGTTAATTCACCTGAGCCTGTTTTTCAGGTCTCAGGCTCAAAAATGACATTCCCAGAACAAATGACCATATCTTCCCTTCTAAAAGGGGTAAATTAATAATCTTTTCTCTCAAAGTAATGATAAACCTGTGAGTTGGATGTAGAAAAGTCCAAATCTATATAGATGTTTTTTATTTTAAATAAAATTCAGATTGAACATAGTAAAAAACTGTAAATTATAGTGTCCGTCCAAAAATTCTTTTTTACTTATAGTGAAAACTAACCTTTGATGATGGGATAATAATAATAATTCCTTACATTTATTATAGCGCTTTTCCAGATGCTCAAAGCGCTTTACAAATACATATTACACATATGTTTTATACATGCAATGGTCACTGTGGACAATACCCACAGGAGCAAGTTCAGGTGAAATGTCTTGCCCAAGGACACAACGGCTTTACAGACGCAGCAGCGGCGGGTTTCACCCCTTGATCTGATGATCATTGCACAGCGCACTGCGCCACACCGTCCATCTTCACGCCTCAAAGTCATCGATGCGCTTTTACAAGTACACATTGATATCATACATGTACTGTGGACATTACCCACAGGAGCAAATCCAGATGAAGTGTCTTGCCCAAGGACACAACGGCCTGACACTGTGGCAGCAGGAGCGGGTTTTGAACTGGAATTCCCCAGCACCCCCCTTGATCTGATGATCAGATGCACAGACCACTGCGCCACCCGTCCCTTTAGTAGACTAAAAGCTTTAGGAATCCAAAGTACAACATATAATAAGTACCCTGTATCAAGATTGATGCAAAACAAGTGACATTTGACCTTTTTAGAGAGATTTAGCACAAAAAAACTCCACCTCTGAGGTGATTTGGGTGGATTTTCCATATCTCTGGCCCCCCTTGGTCGATTTTGACGAATGAAATCTCTTTATAACCGCTAGAGCCAATGGAATTGAGGGGAAGTTCTAGACACACCAACACATGAACAAATAAGGAGTGAGAGTGACACGTAGCCAAAACCGGAAGCTGCATACACTCTGGTGGCTACCATTAGCAGCTAACTTTTGTGCTCCGATTTTTACATACAAATACAATTATGGATTATAAACAATTGCTTCAAAGCCACAGATACATTATTAACCTATGGATCAACCGATTCAGCCGCGTTTTTTCTCGTTGTAATGCCATTGAACACGTCGTTTGATCAGATTGACAGCTACGGTGAGACGATCTCCCGTAAAAGCTCCGTAAAGGTACGTGTTGTGATGTCTGTGTTTGCTTCCCCTGTCGCGAGATCGGATCGCTTAGTGATGCTACTATACTTAAATAATCTGTGGAGTCTCAGCTTTAATTGGATATATTGTATGTGCAGTTTCGATAAGTAATAAGGGTATCTTTATTTTTTAATTCTGTGCTAAAGTGCGTCAGCATTTTTTTTTTTTAAATGAATAAAACCGCACGTCCCTGCGGTGTGAATATCGCGCATGCGCATATCGCGATTATCGCCATGACACGATATATCGTTCAGCCCTAATACACAGACAATAATATTTTATGAAGGCCACTGTGTGTTTTTATATTATGAGCAAGCTGGTGTGTGTGTTCAGGTGTAAGCAAGTGTGTGTGTGCTGCTTCATCTGCCACTTCTGCTCCTGTCAGCATCTACAGCCTTGAGTTAGCTGGTATTAATGAAGTTGGTCAGTTATTTACTGCCCTGCTGAGTCTGATGTATGTGCTGAATACTAGGTAACTTATGTCATTGAATTTATCTCCTCTCAACCCTCCTTCATTCTATCTGTCCATCACACCTTATGGATAATGTTTAGTAAATC